GAGGTGAACCAAATTATTGTCCCACTTTTTATTTAAAAACACATTAAAAACAACCATTCCAATTTTATTTACCTTTATTGCATGCTAAACAGAAATGGCATTAGGGTTTTTTGAGATTAATTGAAATTAAAGTTAAAAGTAAAACATAAGTACCAAATATTGTAATAATTGAATTTTCTCCATAATTGTGAATAGATAAAATGTGACAACTAAATTAAACCAAATGTGTTAGGTAAATTGACAGGATTCTCCGACAATTATGATTGGGTTAAACTCAATCTAAGACTACAAAGCAAGCAGAGGATTATCTTAAGTGACTAAAGCTGTTGTCCACCTCTTAAATCTTAATTACCTACAAGCTAAAACAATTTATGTGACAAACCCTTTCAAAATGCCCCGAGCAACCTCTCTAACTTCTCACAATGGGGCAAGCCACATAAACCTATATATGTTTTATTAGGATGTTTAGTACACCCAGGACCAAAGGACCCAAGTCTTGTAGATGCCAAGTGACTTGTCTTCAATAAAAAGGGAATGGCGTTTGCCATGAATCAGGATTCCTAATTATCCAAAACATTGCCATTTTGATAGCTTTAAGTCTTAGACAAAAATGAACATTAATAACAAGAACAATGATTGATATATACTTCGATTCAATACATTGTATAACATATTCATTAAAAATCATTATTTTTTTTTAAAATTAAAGGCAGATAAGTTTAAAAATACAATAATGTACATAGAATATAGGATGCAAAATGCATGATGCAGGAACGGACCAAATTGATCGTATTTATATTATATTTTTAATAATTGAATTAAAAATGTATTAGAAAATATGTTGAATTGAGTGTGTATAGATCAATTTCCTAATAACAAATTGTGTTTAAGGCTCTATTTGATTTAGATGTTTTGAATAGTTAATGGGCAATTTTTAACAATTAATAATGTTTGAATTATAAAAAATAACAAATATCAATAGTTAGATATTCATTAACAATTATGATCTATTCAAAATATCTAAACCAAACATTGCCTATGTAGCCAAGGTTATCAAAATGACATAATTTTGGATAAAAGGACCTTTTTTGGAGGTGTAACAAATACTTATCTTTGAAATAATTCTCTTTATAAAAAGACTACTTAGATTATATTTGGATAAAAGATAATAAAGCAAAGGGGGGAAAGGGGAAGGGAGGGAAAAGAAAGGAAAGGGACGAATTAATATTAACTTTGTTTTGATAGTTTAAAATAAAGGAAATAGAAGGGAGGGAAATATTATATTTTTTATGTAATTAAATAAATTAGAAAAAATTTATTATAAAATAATTATAATTTTATTTATTGAAATAAAAATTAAAATTAAAATTTTAATTACTTTTTAAATAAAAAATATAAATATAAAACTATATTTAATCCTTCTCAATTTTTCCAAATCGAGAGAATTAAAAATCAAAATATTTAAAAAGGTTTCATCCCCTCCATTTACCTCTCTTTCCTTCCATCTCCATTCCATTAATAATTTTATTCAAACACACGAAAAGGGAGTTCCCCTCACTCTTCTCTCCTTCCCCTCGTACACCTTCAATTCAAACAAAGCTTAAAGTACTTAGTTGACATTTGTTTCAAAAAACAGAAAAAAAAAAAAAAGTACTTAGTTGACATTTCACCTTGTCCAAAAATAAGAAAAAAAAACTATTTACCAAAAAACAAAAAAAAGGTCAAGGTGCATTACCTTAACAAAAAAAAAATGCACTTATATGTGACATAAGGTCCGACTGAAAGTCATGGTGCAACTTGCTCCTACTTTAAAAGAAAAATTTTTTTTAAAAGAAACGGCAATTAGCATTGGTTGAACTTCTGATTTCTGAAGATATTAAACTTATGTTTCTAGTTACTGTCACCTTTTTAAAGTAATATTATAATTTTTTTTGTTTTGACTGGGTCAAATTAATTTTCCCTCTTGATGCAGTTAACAAAACGAGCTATTCTATGATAATTGTGTAGAAATAAACGAAAATACTTGAAGGTAAGCCCAAGAAAATTTTTTTTTTCTTAGGGCAGGCAACGTGAGTATTATTCTCACTTTATTAGAAAAAGAAAGGAGAACAACATGAACTAGTCACTCATACTTTGTCCTCTCCCCCTCTATTTAATTAATTCTAATTAATAAATAGTTTATTCCAATATTTATATAAAATCTTCAATTAAAGATTGTTTGGATTTATGGTTTAAATGCAACAAACAATGGATAACCCATATTCAATAGTCGATAGTAGGGGTGGGTATATATGATTTGGTTTTGATTGTACTTGAAAGCAAATTATTAGTTAATTAAAGTTTTAAGTTTTACATTTTAGTAACTATTAATTAAACTAAAAAATAAGTGTTTTATTAGTTTCAAGTATATTTTTAAAAATAATCATTTAAATTAGTTTTGGTTTTAATTAAAAAATTATTTTAATATTTTTAGTATTTTTTAAATTCTTTAATTATTATTTTATTAATTTCAATCATTAAAAATTAAAATTTGTTTAAATAAATAAAGAATTTGATAAAAAGTGACTAGAAAACCTTTAAAAAAACTTAGAAACTATTAAAATATTTTTAGTATTTTTTAAATTCTTTAATTATTATTTTATTAATTT